CTTTAGTACATGTATTCAAATGTGGTTTTACTGCAGATGGCAAAAAGGTGAATCTGAAAAGATGACATAATACAATAAACAAAATGTCCCCACTGTCATTAATGATAGAGTTATTATTATTGTTCCATCATTAAGTTATCACCTGACCTTGTGCAGTCAGAGGTGTTCCAAGGCAAACCATGTCCAGTCAAATCCAGCCTACAGAGCACCTTTAACATCATATTCTGACACACTAGATACAATTTGCTCAGTTCTCGGAATGACAACCTTGCAAATGTAAAGGTTTTTTACTACATCCATGTGTTTATGTCATTGTAATAAGTGGTCCAAGAAGATGTTTTCCAGTAGAATGTTAACATCTTGAATATTGCCTCCAAGCCAGGCTTCAATGCAATGAACAAATATGAGTGTGAGGGAATATAGCGTGGTGTAACGGATCATTGACCCACCCACTCAAGCACACACTCACCAAGGCTGCCTTTACAAATTGCACCGCTAGACCCCTGACATTTTGTTTGTAATTGAGCAGCAAAGTGTCGCTTGTTGGAGTCTCCCAGACATGATGGGATTTCTGAATTTAATCCATAGAAATGCCCTTGACTCTCATGGCTGTTTGTGCTACATGACAACTCTAACAAGTGCACTACATAATAACAGTTTAGTACAACCATGACAGTCTGTAAAATTACTTTTGTACTTTGTGAAAGAGAATTTTCACAGAACCATAGCATCGCTTCATTGTGTGAAGTAAAACAAACTGATCGTTACCCTGAATAATGTATCCAGAGTCTGTGGGCCTGGGGGGGTCCAAACCTGGTTTTACCAAAGACCACAAACAGAAACAGAACAATGAAGTGAATCTTCATGTTCAAGTAAACAAACTCCAAGTATGAGTCGGGTTTGTGGAGATGCAAGCCTGTGTTTTTTTTATTAGGGCTGTCAAACAATAACAAAAAATGTGTTGATTAATTGCATAGTAATGGTGAGTTAACTCACGATTAATCGCATCTTTAACATTCTATTTCAAATCCACTCCAATTGAAAGAGATCAAATGTACTGACACATTGTCATTCAAACCAAATAAATCTGATTTTCTCACAACCTTTTACTGTTGGGCACATACACACACACACGCATGTGTCTGCGACATTTTGAGTGGTATTATGGGATACATGGGCGGGTCGTTCGTAGATACGTTAAACGCGTTTTTGTTTAACGCATTAATGAAAAATGTAATTAACCTGAGTTAACGTGATCATTTTGACAGCCCTAGTTTTCATATTAATTTTCAGTGTCATAGAAACATAAAAAGGAGGTTCGTGTAAGCACCCATCATCCGGGGAAAATCTGCTAACTGAAGTACAGTGAGCAAACTTCCTTTGTTATAAAAAGGAGGTATTATACTAGTTATTTTTGCCTCAAAAGTTACCTGGACATCAAGTTAACTTAAGCAAAATCTTATATTCTCAGTGGTCTACATTGGACCAACCCCTCCAACAACCCTTCAGTTCATGTTGTTCATGCCCAAAATAATACTTGCTTTTAAACAGTCTCACTGAAGTTGTCATCAGGAAAATGTATTATATTGTACCATGTAAATTTGCATCTTTAAAAATGTACTTTACTGTGTACTTTTACATGTTTTTGTGAAGGACTACACTAAAATTGGTGTTAAATCTGGTACAGCCCTCTTTCTAATGCAACTGCACCTTCCCCTTGAAATATAAAAAGTGAACTAAACAAACAGACAAAGAAGGAAGTAACCTGTGATCAAATCAAGTGTTGACTCAAGAGCAGGATACAAGCGAGGGAAACAGACCATAAAAGTCAGGTGAAAGCAGCTGAACATCACATGTCAGGGCTGCTGCATTTCCCTAGAGACAATATAAGTGTGAGAGTAGACAGTTGGTGTGCTGGAGCAGGAGATAGGGCGCACAGGGGGATGAGCCACTGTATCAAGTAGTGAACATCTGTTCCTCATAGAAACCACAGGGCTGCTGCAGAGGAAATACAGAAGAGAACTGCTCAGCTTCCTGTGCCCACTGCGCTCCCTCTGGCTAACACACCTTATTACCAGCCCTCCCACACACATGCCATTGCCTTTCCATATTTAGCATTAGCTTCATTAGATGCTCCTGCTTCCTGTGCAGACAACCTCTGTCACCTTTATTTTTCTACAACGCCAATCATGCTGTTTCCACATTTCCCTGGAACATGTGAAATGAATCATGAAAATTGCTACATTTGTGTGAGACTGTCTGTTTGAGTAATTAACGCTCAAACTTTTTGTTTCATAAATGATACATCTCGCTTGTCCCACAGAGAGAATTTTGTAAATTCTGTCTTCATCTTATTAGAACACGTGGTATCTATTGCACTTAAAAGAAAGAGCCCTGAGAACCGTTTTGGGCTGCAGCTGATTGGCTGAGTGAGGGTGGTCCTGTCTTTTCAACGTTTCTTTTAGAAAAGGCTTATCTAAAGATGTGACAAAGACCATAAAGCCATGCATGTGAAAGCTACTGATAGAACCAAAGAGTTTTGAGGGCAAGGAACAATACAATACATAATTGCTTTACAAAAAAGGACAAATTCAGCAAGAACAGAAGTTTAAAAATATATTAAACCTCTTCCGATTGGAAAGATTAACTTATCTTCTAAAAGGAAATACCAAAATCTGGAGTCCTGTACTTGGGCGGCACGGTGGCTGAGTGGATAGCACTCTCGCCTCTCAGCAAGAAGGTCCTGGGTTTGAATCCCGGTCGGACCAGGGCCTTTCTGAGTTGAGTTTGCATGTTCTCCCTGTGTAGGTTTCCTCCTGGTACTCCGGTTTCCCCTACCACTAAAAACATGTACAATAGGTCTGTGCATGCGCCTCCTGTACTGGCGACCCTGCTCCCATCTCTCTGTGGAGTGAGAGGACAAATGCCCAAAAATAACAATTGTAAACCGCTTTGTGACTCTGGTCTGTGAAAGGCGGTATAAAAATAAGGATTACTTACTTACTACTTGATTTTATTGCAGAAGATGCAGCTTAAATATGGAGGCTTCTCCATCATATAACTTGAGTGTGAGTGTGTGTGTGTGCAGTTTACAGATTGTGGGGGTTCCGTTATATTACTATCAGATCTATGGTTGACCATGACAAGGATATAGTAGCCTATGGTGTCGTCTTTGTCAGTCTGCATATTATTACTAGTGACTATAGTGTGTCAAAGGATGGGGACACTTAGCTCCATGTTTGTGAGTTCTGTACACGTTTGTTCATTTGTATTTACAAATGCAAAGGAGGTAAATACATATAATATAAATAACAAACCCTTCCAGTGATACTTAGTTTGCACAATAATTGCTCAGGTGCTAAAGAACACTTTGGAATATATTACAAGAATAAAAACACATTATGACTATAAACCCTCTGCAAAAGGGAGCCTTGAAGCAGGTATTTCATTAAAGTTAATAACTTGAATGGAAATCTGGAAAGAATAGTCTATTCACAGGATTAGGATTGGGTCCAAATTATGAAGCCTATGATATAGCAGACATGAGCCATGTCTTTGTTAAGGATTCTCTGCACCTTTTCCCTCAAAGACCCTTGATTTAGTTCTTGCTCTTGCATCTCTCTCATTGCCTCAGTACCACTATCTGTGCGGCTGTATGAGCTCTGGGTGGCAGTTCCTTATTGTGAAGTGTACGTGTGTGTATGTGTGCGTACATATATATGTGTGTGTGTGTGTGATCCTGCATGGGGCTGATAAGAGCCAGGCAGAAGAGCCAGCGTGCCGACATATTCTTGCCACTGTGGTTATCGGCCGTCGCAGCTGTGCCTGAGCTCTGCGACATCTGCTCCCTCACAGGAAGCCTCTGCTGAAACTCACAACGCCTCGCTCTCCCAAAGACACACGTCCACAGCAGCCTCAGCGTCTGCACACCCCAACACACCGCACTACATCAGGTAAACTACTTGAGACAAAGAGACGTGTTGACAATTGCCTCCAACACATTCTGATTCCCCTCTCTGAACATTTGTATGAATACATTCTTCGACTGAGTTTTATCACAGAATTACAGAGGGGATGCTTATGACTAAGCCTAATTATAGCGGCCTTATCACAGCAACGTTCACAAAGCTCATTACTGCCAAGAGACGGCAGGCGCTGCAGGTAATGCACTACGTTGTATATTAGTCCACTCCCTGGATTAGACACTTTCTACATATTTAGAGTCTATAAAATTAGGCCTTTAATGTCTTTTCCTTAACAGATCTCCTTACTCCCTTCAACTCTTCACTGATTTAACACACAGGTTTACCTATATAGTCTCCACAGTCAGTGTTAAAACAATATTTACTATTTTCTGGAAGTTCAAGAAATATGTTTTTTTTTGCCTTTGATCAAAAATAGAAATAGCTTTTTCCCATTTTGATTCACAACGTTGCAATAATAACAACTTGAATTAGGTATCTTGTATTGAAGTAACTTTCAGGGGTAGAATTAATGCCATTTTTTTAGAATTGTTTGTGGAAATTGAAGGATTTCCGTTCTAACTTGGTAAAGGGCAGATTTGTTCAGCAATATAATAAAATGTATATATCTTTATGACAGCACCAGGAGAAGAGATGATCCCTGAATCTCAGGGATATCCAGAGGTCCAAATGTCTACTCTAGAGGTTGTTATGGTAACGTTTATAGCTGGCAAGAGTTAACAACCTGTACAGTGAACTTTCCTTTCCTTCCTCCAGTGGGCCTCTATGCACCCCCCAAGGTGGACCATGCTACCAACCTAGATAATTACTGTAAAAAGCAGACAGTTGCAGCAGCAGCTCAACAAAGGAACCTAAAATCGGCCTGATAACATGCTGCCGGTAATAAGTCAACACAAACTGATTATCCGTCAATCACTCCGACTTAATGAGCAGCGCTGACAGCTGTGGGAGCTTCCATCACTCACCACACTGCCAAAAGACTTCAGAAGACAGCCCGTCAGGATAGTCCACTCCTACCTTCTCTGCGTCTGGGGTAGGCTCCATTGCTCAGGGGCAGGTGCGCTGGTCTGTATGTGCTGGCTCTGTCCCGGAGCTGTTTATGGCTGATGAGTGCCACGGTGGGAACTTGCAGAATAAATGAAGAGGAAGAAGTCTTTCTCAAATGCTCCATATGAACCTCAGCCGACATCTTAAACGTACGAGCAGTCAGATAATAAGTTGTGGAGAGTCTTGTTGCATTAGAAGCCAGCATCTGCGCCGGCTCTCATCAGTGCTGTGTGTGTGAGAGCAAGTTAGCGGCCGGTCAGTGTGTCCCGTGGTCTGGCTCAGGGGCCGTGCTCTGTGCCCTCCCCCTCCGCCTCTTCTACTCCACTCAAAGGAGAAGTGTGTTGTAGCGGCTGTGAGTCCCCCGAGAGGCTGAGCTGCAGTGATATCTACAGACAGCAGTAGGACCAGGACCTCCATCTGGGCTTCCTCTGCCAGGAACCAGCTGTGTCTGTGGCCCAGTGTCGTCCCCCTCTGCTTGCTCTATTTAAGCTTCCTAAGGTTATCTGCATTGTGCACTTCACTCAGGTCAATTGTTAAACTTTTTACTGCCCCAAATTCTCTTGAGTAATATTGCCTGGATCAGCATTGTCTGTTTATTACACCCCGGACAAAATATTCACTGAGAAATAATTAGAATGGGACTTTTGAAACATACATTATGGACATTATGAATGGTGTAAATTGCAACTAATTCATGTTCCATGCCGGCACAATTATGAAGTGGTCGTTTTTAGACTCTGCCCCCTCTGCTGTTGAACAAGTGACCTCCGAGTGTCAAAAATAAACTTTACAGAGACCCAACAGCTGAAAGTGCTCTCATGTGAAACTCTACCAACACTGTTTCTATCGCCTCCTTGACCTCTGACCCGTAAGCACTCATTAACCCCTATTCTAAATGAACTTCAGCGTCTGACAGCCGCCGTGCTCCACGACCACATGCAACTCCACTCACTCACTGCAGCAGAGGCAGAAGTGAGAGGGGATGTAGCTCACAGATGTGCGAAGGCCTGGCTCAAACCACCTCACAGATGGTCATGAGCTCAGAGGAAGTGAGACAAACTTCTGTTGGCTTTTCTTGTTCAATGTGTGGAGGCGGACAGAGAAGTGACTACTGAACTCATGTCAACACCACCAAACTTCAACTTCAGAGGATTTTTCAGAAAAGGAAACAATATTTCCCCAATTTTCCCAGTTTTGGGCAACTTAACAGAAGCAAGAATATCAGATGTCGCCAATGCTGAATAATTTTTGTGAAAAAACATAGAAGTTCCAGAAACATGAAGCTTGTGCATCCGTCTGGGGAGAAAAGGTTGTGATGTTACTATTTAGCAGATCACATAATCAGCCCTGAGAGAGTTTGTTGCAATAAAGTGCCAAGCTCAGTGTTCTAAATTGTTTTAAAAATACAAAAAAACTTCTGGCAGACTTCCAAAATATACAGATTCAAGTCTGGTGCTGGGGTTGTGTGCATGTGGCTGTTACAAACTCCATTTGGAACAGTTTACAGCCTCTACCATTGATATATAATAAACCTAAATGGGGGTGTTTCCACTTGGCTTTGGGAGGTGCAGCTTGGTCTGAAGTCAACCATTCTGGTCAAAGTGGCTCAAAACAAGCTACCTGCGGTTCGAGTTCCGATGTGGTTGTGAATAGTGCTTTAATGGGGCGTTCAGACCGCCAACGCTGGAACGCAGCTTCCACGTGCACCGGACGCACATTCTCTCAATTTCAGACGCTATAGGCGTTCAGACCAGAAGTCCTGGCGGAAGTGGCGGAAGTGCTTTGATACTAACAGAGTTAAGCTAACGGCTTTTTGTGTAAAGTAATCATTGAGCTTAAGCGGAAATTCAGACTGAGAAGACCTCACGCCGCACATACAGGGCCAGCCTCGAGCCTCAGCCAATCACACAGCTCTGCCAGCCTCGAGCCTCAGCCAATCACACAGCCCAGCCAGCCCCTCTGCCAATCTACTGACTGCAAAGCGGGCAGATTAAAAGCAGCCACTTCCTACAAACCAGCGCTTTGAAGCTCTTGCAACCCACTGCCTCCCCAGCACCTCCTCAAGCTCCTGCTCTAGCTCTTACTCTGGCTCCTGCCCTGGCACCTGCTCTGGCTCCTGCTCCGCCTGCACCCCATTCGCACCATACTTATAGCCACCACCAGTGCTTGATCCTGCGGGATCTGAGATCATTCTAAGCAACAGTGATCTCCCTTCTGCAAGTGTTCCTACCGGGGTCAATGCGCCAAACAATAAATCCTTTTAAATGCATTCACGTGTTTGTCTTGGTCTCTCCAGATTGAACTCCAAGAATGTAGCTCTGCAGCGTCTCTGTGTCCAGAGACTTTATATAACAGCAGTATGTGTTCACGGAGGTGTGCCATGAGTTTATTTTATTATCAAACAGTACGTCCGCATCGGCGAACACGCAAGCTGCACTTGTTTACAGTCACTGGAGAATGAGAACTCAGGCTGGAGGCATTAGTTCACAAGCACCGTGTCCCCCATGGTCAACTCTTGTGTAGTATTTTCAGTCTGCTCGCTGTGTCCCCGTGACCACTTTGCGTCTCTGATTGGTCGCTGCACGTGCGTCCCGCGGAAAAAGTTCAGCAATCTTTCTTTCCTGCCTGCGGCGATGTTCTGCGTCTTTACCATGCGTGCCGAGACGCACATGCAATTCCACGCTCAAAGGGATGGCACCATTGACTCCACAACGCCACAACGCATGATCCGGTCTGAACGCCCCATAAGTGGGCCGGAACGCACCGGTACACAGTGCGTACTAACGCCTCTCTGTGCGCCAAGAACATGCTTTTAGCGTACTGGTGCATAGCAGCTCCGCTGCTTTTGCGAGCAGCCTTCACACATGGATCTATAATATCTGGATAGGGTATTACTAGCTTATAGCTGTCCCACTTATAGCGGGCCCACATTACTGCAGACTGAATTTTAAAGAGCTTCCAGTTCGTTCAAAAGCAGCAAGGATCTTAAGTGGTATCAAAAGGAGGGAGCACATAACTCTGGTGATAAAATCACTCCACCGGCTTCCTGTGGAGTATAGAATCAAATTTAAAATCTTTCTGCAAAGCCAAAAATTGCATGGCTCCCTACTACCTAAAATAAATGGTAGTGTCATACCAACCAAACAGCACTGTGCTCGCAAAACGCCAGACGTCTGGTGGTTCACTGTCAGTGGCAGAGTAACACTTCACCAAGCTCTTTTACTATGGAATCAGTTCCCATCCACCTTAAGGAAGCAGTCTCTATACAGTATTAAAGGCCAAGCTTAAAACTGTCCTCTAATTTAGCACATGGTTAGGTAGGTAAGACTCAGGGAATTCAATCTGGAGAGACTCGAACAGACAAAACATGGGTAATCTGACGCCGCCGTTGTATTAGCAACCACCGGCATGGGGTCGAGGTGTGGCAACGAGGCAAGCCACCGTTGAAGTGTGCTACCGCCGAAGTGCAGCGGCGTCGAAGGATGCTACTGTTGAAGTACAGCGTTACGTACACCCTGAAACCACTGTCACACCGGATTACCGCTGAAACGGGACCACCATTGGAATGCAAAAGAATCAGAACCATCCTAGGAACAACTAACCAAGGACTGGAAGCCGTTGCCCCAGCTCGAACGCACGCTCACTTAATTCCAGCCAACGATCTGTCATCACCAATTCTTACGTATCTATTTGTGGCAAGTTGAGGGGGTTACACACTCATAGAAAATAATATAACAGTTAGAAATGAAAGAAAAATAAGAAAAAAGACCAACGACTCCAGGGAAAGGGTGCCCAAAATAAAAAAAGCGCAATAATGCATACAGGTTCATTAAGCATAATGAGGCAGATAAGTTAATTTCTGCTTATCTTCTAAACAGAAAGACAGAATGTTTATAATGTTAATGCCATTTTGTATGGATTTATTCTTATAAATCCATTATATGGCAGAATTTTGTTGATAGTTCGAAATGCGATTAAGACGATTACTACTTTTTTAAGCTGTAATTAACTCAATTCAAAATTTGAATCGTTTGACAGCCGTAATTTAAAAAGAATGTCATCTTGGATCACCGGGGCTAACTTTCAAAATGCACGCTTCTTACTTTGTCTCATGAAGACCAGAGATGACAATCTGTTAGGATTTAAGCAGACAGAGACGGATCGTGGTGTGCCAAACTCTGGAAGTTTATTTAAGGTTCTCTCAAGTTCCACTGGTTTACTCTGTTTCTTCCCTCAGACAGAATAAAGGCAGTACACAGTTTATATAGTCATTGTCACGTCACACATCGAAAGACATACGTGTCACAAAGAGACAGTCACATCATAGTCATAACATGGAGTCCTTGTAGAGTCCTTGTACAGTCCTGCACGTAGGCCATATTGCTATCTAATACTAATACCCTCCCCTTTGATCACATAATCACATGTGATCACTCAATTTGATCAATCAATAAAGTGGAAAAATAAAAAAAAAAAAAAAAAAATTCCAAAAAAAACTTCAAAAAATTATTAAAAACAAAAAAAATGTATGCATTAAACTCATAATCATCAAATCAATATCAGTGGATTTTATCCTCTATCCTGGGAAAAAATAAAAAACAAAAATAAAGTAAATAAACAAACAAAAAACAAATCAAAAATAAAAAACAAACAAACACTATTGGACACACAAGAACTCAGCAGATTCAGTCAAAACACAGACAAAAACGAGCTGAGTCTCAATTTTGAAGCTAATTTCACTTTTATTACTCTATACTTTTATTCTAATGCTAATTGTTTACACTACACTTCACTTATTTCACTGTATTATTTTCACTTTTTAATCTTCTATTGAGCCATATTCTTAAACATACATTTTAATCTAACAAATCTCTCTGTGGTTTTACACTCTCATTATCAGTGGCATATTATCAGTGGGATTTTGCTCCATGTCTATTCTCATTCTCAGGAATAAAACTGTGAACACAGTAAGGCAAACGGTCAACATTTACACTTCTATAGTGGTCAGTGATTTATTACTTTTTATTATCTAAAGATATTATTGTCAGGCAGTTTGGGATGAATGTACATCTTTAATCAAATTAGTATTATCCTTACAAGAGCTAATCTATTTGAGCAGGTTTGGGGTTGGGGTCAGTTATTCTACAATGGTATTTGATTCTCTAATCTGTGCTGATGAATCTACAGCTTTTTAAACTTCTCAAA